ACACTTTACTAATCTGCTAAGTATATTACTCGTATAATACATTATACGATACAGACTAACATTTATTTTCACTCTATATTAAGAATTTCAACAAAACTTTGCGAACAAAGTTGCCACCTCTTCTGCTTTTTCAATTTTTTCTGCTTTTCAAAATATTATCTGCTTTTCATCTTTTGATTCAATTTCAGTTCTAATACATTATTATTGCATACATATTCGATGAATTCTTAGTGATGTATATTGTTGTCTTTTTGTCGTCTTTGTTGTATAATGGAAATTAACAAGAGAGTGATCTCGAATTTCCAATGGTTAATAAAAACGGCCAATATATACGCCACTTGCTGATGCCGCTCTTTACCGATATGTTTCTTTTTGAAGTATTTTCTATCAATCATCCAAATCTTTCAATTCATTGTACACAATCATCTATCTATTATTCGTTGTAGGTTATAAAAACATAATAAACTGTAATATTTCTACTTACGAGGGAACCTCGCGAGGTGCGCCACTCCAATTTCGTTTATTCTAATATCGTTTAATATGGGATCTCGAGTAGGTATAAACCCTAAAAGGATTTCGGCGGACGGCTCTTTCTTCCCGAGAAATCGCCATTTTCCATTCCCATGAAGTACACTGGTGAAAAAAAGATTTCATAAATCCATGCACGAGATAATCATAGAAAGTTGCAGTTTCCTTTTTTTATTGATATTGTTGAAGAGTTTCTATGTAAACTGATGATTTATGTTTGTATTGATCTATTCTTCGAAACTATGAAACATTCGTATGAATGAAGAAATCCGATCAAATTTCATAAGAAAAAGTGAACTAGGCTTTGCTTTTAATTTCTTTTAAAATAATAGTCATTAGGATCGAGAGATGATCGACTGGACATTTGAATATCAATATCGTTAGAAAGTATTGCATTTTTTATTTATACTGATTTTGATCTTCAAAGAAATGTTTTGGTTTCTTATCTAAAAGACGTTTACTATAAATATACAAGAAATACACACGAATATAAAGTAAAACACAAGCAATGACCTTTGAAATATCAATAAAAATGATACAGTATAAAAAAATGTTCAAAACAGAGTACTTTAATACAGTGAGAACATTTAATAAATGGTAAAGAATCGTCACACTGTTGTATCTGGCAATGACCATCATTAAAACAAAAGCAAACTTCTTCAACATTTTCAAAAATCCCTGGATTCTGTTTTATATATCCTGATTCGTACCAAGAGTATCTAATCCTCTAATTAAATTTTGATGAAAAAGTTGATTGTATGCTAATGAGTTTATTTTAATTATGTTATTTCGTTGTGCTAAATTAATGTCTAAATCATAGAGTCTTGCAAATCCATAAATTTGACGAATTATATATTTGTACTGACGATTATAATAAACACCTCAAGGTTGTATCATTGAAGTTGTTTTCCTTGGAATATCTAATCGGGTTAAATTTTTTAACAATTGATGAAGTTTATTGTCGCACTGCCCACTCCGACAATCTGATAGAAGTAGAGCCTTTCTAAAGGATGTGGGTGTGATTGTTAGGTGAAGACTGTACCGCCACCCATATTCATATCCTAGTTTAACAAAAAACACTGGTTCATCTTTGAGTTACAAGGTACACAAAAAAGAACAATGACTAGAAATACACATATCTTCTTGAGTAATTGTAATAAGCATAGAAGAATATCTGAAACAGAAAAATAAATTTAATAAAACTATTCTTTAACTGTACCTTGACAATCAAGTAAAATATAATATTAACTGTTACAATCATAGAATAATATCGAAAACAAGAAACAAAACTTATTTTTCATATTACCTTATCAATAAATACATTTTTAAATATTTATAAACATAGATCGAGAAATTCTCGTTTTAGAATAACAATAAAATCATTTTATAAATCAAGTTTATTGACAAATAATAATATTTAAGTATATCATAATAAATAAAAAAAGATGTAGCGAAAAGAAAAACCAAAATTAGTCTTTGTGCGGTTTGCTGATGATGGATGTTAGTTTTGCAACAATTTGTTCCCATAAATTGGAACTATCAGCTAAATTGGAACTATCATCTGAATCGGGACTATCATCTAAATAAAAATATATAGAGATGGTCATTAATTGGAAATTATGAACAAGTCGACAATTATAAATAATTGATTGAACAGACTAAATCTTTCATTAAAAGTTAGCAAAGTCCGTTAGAATTCATAAAATTATATGCAACACTTGTGACAAAAGGGAAAAATAGAAAGCTTTACATCATAGATCTAGCCGAATTCGAATGAATTATAGCGGATTTATTATTTCTCAAACATTGCGAACATGGAACATCTTCAAGAATGGATGTTTATGGCAGTGTAGAAGTTAAAACTAATCCAATTACACCTGATCAACTTTTGGATCAAAAAGGTAATGGATTTATAATATTAGCCATTTTAACTCGATTAACTTGCGCATTTTTGCTATTATTTGATGTTTTTACAGACTGAAGTAGTATTTATTTACCGAGTACGTTTTGAGTTGCTCAAGCCACCTTTAAATCTTGCAAGATCTGAGAAGAATTCGAATTTGTACCAGAGAGATAGCAAACGTTTCACACTGCGTATATGTTTTTCAAAAAAGATTATACTACTAATTTTTGACAGCTATTACGAAATTTGTCCTAGTAATAAAACGAGCATTTTTCAAGATTCGTCAGCTTTTTGGCTCTTTCACTCAAAAAACTATTCATTTCAAACATAACCCAGCATCTGTAGAAAAATTTCAGCTTAATTGAACGCACTCGGCTGAAACAATGGGGAGATAAGCGTTTTTACCCATTGTAAACCCAATATTTCACATAAGATAGTATCAGAAAATTTGAAGTCTATTAAAACTTATGCTCTATTCATGAATATCTACTGGTAACTAGACGAGCGTTGTATAAGTAAGCCAGAAAATCGAGAAAAACAGTTGCTTCACTCAACTTTCAGTTTTCCAGCACATTAACAATGAGAAACTTTGAATTGATCGGTGAAAAAAAGTGAGCTCGAAATTTGGAGTTTACGAATATCTAGTTTTCACCGAAAATCGCAGCTCAAAACCTTAACCGTCTGTTTCTAATTGCTCGTATAGATACTCTTGGCTACTCTGCGTCGACCGATATTATTCAAGAAAAAAATATGGAGTTAAACGTTGGAATTTGTTGAAATACCACAAAGTTGTAAACCCTAAATTTCGAGCTCACCTTTTTTGACCGAATTGTTCTCAGGTGTATTATAATGCACCTGGACCGGGTGTAAACAATACGAGCAAACTATGACATTGTTGTTGTTGATGGATGTGCATATTGGATATTTAATTAGAGTATCTTGGTACATGAGGCAAGGGAACTTTTCTTTCTCACAAAGGCTGCATGCTACTATTGACATTTGAGAACGAAATAAGATGATTGATGAGAAATATATCTGAAACAAATAAACATAGTTAATCATCGAATTAAAAAAACAAATTTAAAACAAGCGAGTTTCTCGTTATTTTTCTGTGCAAAGGAAAATGAAAATGATTGTTATCAATTCATAATATTATGTATTATGATCTAGAAGAACAGATTTTGATTGTTCCATTTAGATATTATTCACTAATGCTGGAAATACACTACAGAAATAAAACAATTTTATCTGTTTTAATTTGACGGTCATGCACATTATGTGCTTAAGTCGCCAATAAGAGTATAGGATATGCACTCATGATAAATAATGAGTGAACGCTACGTGGCGCTAAGGTACGTTAATTTTTTACATAGAAGTCTACTCGGTATAGTGGTACAGTTTGTGCTTCAGTTCATATTTGGCCTATCAGCATATGGCTTAATCACGGTAGATTTTAACGCAAATGCGGAATCTGTAATTAAATGTGATTGAATTTTAATATTGTTAATAGCAATGAAATGATCATGTTAGGTGGTATCATCACCTTGTTTCATTTCTTTCTTACGTTATATGAGTCACTGCACATAAGCCACAACATAAATACATATATAGCTGCTCCATTGAGGTTCTCAGATTTTCCTCAATTGTTGATATGTTATAGAAGAAGATATTTAATGAATTTTGACGCCAACCGATTTGAAAAATATTGGTTCTTTCGGATTTTATAAGACTTTTATAAAAATTCATAAAATTGTAAGAATTAAGGATTGGGGGTACAAATAGGTCGATATCTCAAGAACAGCTAGGCCGATTGAGCTGAAATTTTGTACATAGATACACCTTAGTATGTTACATTTATGGTAAAAGTTTTAGCTCGAAATCTTAAGGCGTTGGGTTTCTAGAGCTCCATCAGTATTTGAAAAATCCGAATTTTGCAAGTCGATTATTTCCCAAGATACGGATCTGTTTCGGGCCGGGTTTTCGCAGTTGGGTAGTACTTGGCTTAGAAGACAACCCCATAAAAAAAATCAGCTTGGGATCTCTAGAAACGGTCGAGAACGGAGGTCATCTTTCGAAGGGTTTTTTACATAGTCCATGACATGAACAATGAATTTGAGTTTTTTTTATTGAGACCTAGGTAACTTTTTATAGAGAGCAAGATGGTGATACTCATTTCTCTTGATTGAAAAACTTTTTCTCGTCCAACCCACACCCTTTTTAAAGAGTGTTTGTGTATATGTCGTGTTTCTTGTTAATACTTTCAGTTTTTGATTGTTTTGACATGATCATGTCGAAAATAATAACCAAGATACTATAAAGATTATCAAGGGAATGCCAAATACATTCCTAAAATTAATACTCATCATAAATTGCTGATATCTGTAGAAAAAGAAATAAGAACTTTGGTAAAAACCGAACAAAACTCAACAGATATGAAACATCACAAGATTGTTTGCTTTTTGTCTGAACGACAAAACAATCAATCATGACTAAACTGGAAAAGTGTATCTTTTATTTTGAATTCAAAAAACAATTTTTTTCTAAGATTAAAGTCATTTATTCATGTGTTTTAAACAAGTGTTCCATAACATGCTTGATCATTGCATTCATTTACCGGATACGTATTTGGTAGAATAAGAGTTTCTGTTGTTAAAGTCAATGTTGTACCTTGACGTCCATCAAATGTAGCTTGAATGAATGTAGCTAGCCAATAACCATCGGTTGGAATAGAAACTGTTAATAAATAGGAAGCTGTTGTACCACTTTGTCCCTACATAATAATAATAATGTACAGATAAATAATAATTTTAAATATAACCTGGAACTGAACACCTGTATTCGCCCACACTATAGGATTAGCGACAAGATTACCTGTAGTTTGATCAAGTTTTGCTTGTCGAAAATCACGTCTACAAAATATGAAGAAATATTAAAAATCTTCATCTGATATTCTTCTAATCTTACCTTAATGTATCACTAGTACGAGCTTGATAACCACTAACAGTTGTTGGTTTTGGTTTTCCAGAACTAAAATCAATGGTAACATGAATAAAACCATGTGTTCCATTCATAGTTCGAGTCCATTTCATTGATGGTAATGGTACTCGCTATATATTTATCAATTGTTCGATAAAATTTGAAAAAAACAAACAATATTTACTTACATCAGCAGCACTAAGATAAAAGCTCGATAAACTCTCTTCATATCCTCGTATATTATGACCAGTATTTGGTATTCGCCTGTGAATAAAATATAGTTGATGATTTATTTGCTTTTCAGCTATTTTACCTCAAATGAGATCCTCCAGTAGCTACTTGCAAATCATTCCAGAAGAAATTCTAATAATGAATAAAATTTTAGTTTTTATTCTATTGGTCGACAGATGATAAATAGAGTTTTACTTCGCAATCAAGAAGAAAAAATTCATCACCGGCACCTTGAAGTTGAAAGATTTTGGTTTTGCTGTATCGATCCAAATATGCTTCAAAATATCAATATTTTTATTATAGTTAAATAAATTTTATTCAATATCTTACAATAGGGATCAATCATCTCAGCTAGTTTATCCGTAATAGCACTATTCATTTGGCGAGTTATATTCATCTCATAATAATCATCTAATGCAAATGTCCATCCTCCTCCAAGAGACTATCAAAATCAATATACTATCTTTGACAATTGAATTAGCACATACCCGATAATGTGACATCATATTCTATAAAGAATTAATTAATTAATTTATATGAATAATCTTCTTCTTACTGGACGAATATTAAGTAAATCCATAACAATAGGAACTGCAGCTACTACTCTTGTATTATCGACAGCAGCAGTTAACCATGCTAAAATTTGAAGTAGAATAAAATAGAAAAATTTGTTCTATATTTACTTGTCCATCCACGCTACATGATAAACAATTATAATATATGTATGAAATTTATTCAAACATAGTAGTATTTACTTTGGAAGCACCACCAACAACAAATTCTTGTGGTACAGTAATATGTTCTTGTTGTAAGAATTGTTCAATAGTATCCATAGCTCGTACAACTGCCTGTTATCATTGGATAAGAAATATGTTTACAAAAAATAATCTATTTAATTTTATTTATCTTTACCTTAGTCATAGGAAAATAGAGAAGTATTGTAGGATCCATACCATTAGCATCAAAATATTGTTTCCATGTCCATGCAACAAGTGCATCTTCCCTACGAAGTTTTTCCAATGGATCAGCCTATAATAAATCAATTATCATATAACTAGTAGTAGTAACATTATGAAATTAGTTACCCAAAATTGAAATGGTTGATTTGGTATTTGCCATATTGTTGCTGTAACACTGGATGAACTTATTGCCAGATCTGTCATCGGATTGCTAGTAGGTACTCTAGAATTGACAAATAAGTATATTAAATTTTTTTACATGTATATACTTACGGATTAGTATTATCACCATTATTGACTAGTAGAAATGCTGTTTTATAACGACGAATATTTTTTGGAACTGTAATAGCCATATAATGCCACCATATTGGTTGTGAAGAAAGCGAATCTATGTATAAAAAAAAAAGAGCAATCATTTAATATTTTATAAAATATGATTTTACCATCAAACCATCGTTGTGATGTCATATTCAAGATAAAAAGTGTATAAGTTGGAAAAGGATAGGTTTGAAGACGTTTCCAACTAAACATTGGATCGGGAGTATTAACATAATCATCGAGAGGTGTAGCAAGACAATTATTTAAAATAACAATAAAAACAACAACACAAGATAAACCAATAAAATACATCATAGAATTTTCTTTTTATGAAATCGTCCTATATGTATCACTCTTCTTTCTTTCTTTTTCTAATTATTTTTAAATCACAATTTTGTTATTTGCCTTTATCTTAGAACTACGTCTATTGACATTCTTAATACCATTATTTAGTTCTTTTCTGTTTGATACAGCTATTTATATAAATTATTATATTTAAATTCAGTTTCATTGTTAGAAGAAACAAAAATAAAATCTGATATCTTTTTACTAAAGCCATGTGTTATCGTATTGATTTAAATTGAAAATATAACGACTCTGAATAAATCTTCTAACAATATCGATTTATAGTATTTAGGTCAGATTAACTTTGAGTGCAAATTTAATTAATCATAAGAGTACGAAATGTGATGCGAGGATCGAATTATCACTGGAACTTGTTCTCTATCGTTCTATTTGAATTTTAGTTTTTCTATTACTTAAAATTTGAAGGAAGCACGGATAACATATGTTAATATGAGTGTGATTTATTTCTTTTAAATCACAAAAAAACACACACCCTAAAATTATTTTGCTCTAGTTTAGATTCATATAAAGTTCCAAGTATAATTAATGATACATGATTTTGATCTAAAAGTTGAGATCTGTGAAAAAAATGAATCTTTAGAATTTTGTTTATTATCATTTAATCTGAAATACATAAATGAATAGGTTTTTTCGAGATAAGCTGGGTGTGGGTGTGAGTATTCTTCTCTTTCGTTATCAACATTCATACCCACACTATACCACAATCTATATACACTGTTTCTTGCAACAAAACGATCCATGTTGTATTGAAATAGTTGTGATGATATACAAAAGAATAAACAGCACACAATTTAATAAAGAAATCATTTCTCAAATTAGTTGTTTTAATGCGAAAACAAATTTTCATCTCAATCCCTCACAGAGAAGCTTTGCCTGAATCCAAATAATATATCATTTGATAAAGCATTTATTAATTCTCTTGTATCATGTAAAGTATATATTTTTCGTGCTTTTTAAAAATTATTTTCAATAAAACTATTCAATTGCTTTGTACGAAATACTTTGTTTGTTTTTACAGAGAACAAAAATATTTCTTCGATCTTACTTACATCAATATTAAGCCTACAATTTTTTTTCATTCATTGGTATAATGTTTAAAGCATGCTCAATATAAAAAATTTCATAAAGCTTTTTTCATTGTCTTCTTATAATATATTGCATACATTCATCAAACACTCATATAATGTCTGACAAAAGAGTGTAAGAAAAAAAATAATTCACTGAAAGAATAGTATTTTTCTTTCTACCTTTCGTCGATGAAAAAAAATGTCGCCTACGCATTGACAAACTAAAGTAATAATGTAGACAAAAGCAAGAGTAAGTTGGAAAGAATAACAATAAAATGAATACGATTGTTGGCTTCTATTTTGTTCGTTCTTTGAATAACATTATCAACAACTTTTTTTGTTTTGATCCGTTTTATGCTCTGCACAATATTATTTTCAAAAGTAACTAGGTGAAGCTTGTCCTTGAGCGACAATAAAAACACACAAACATTCGGAGTCGCCGAAAAATCGAGAAAAAACACGTCACTGACTATATAAAGGAGAACAGTTATCTTTCTTTTCATTCACACAACAATATCTACTGATAACTTCACATTCAACAACAAATTACCAACGAATCAGAATGAGCGGATCAAAATCAAATCAAAATGCTGCTACATCCAAATCAACAGCATCATCGAATATTCGTCAACCACGACAACGTACGGCACAAAACTACCTTCTCGTGTGGGTAGATGCCAACATTGATCAAACAAACAAGGATTGCCAAGACACACTCAATCAACTGAAGAATGTAGTCAATGATGTCAACCTATGCACTGAACCAAATCAGTGCATCCAAGTACTCAACAAGGTTGACAAGGAACACGCCTTCGTGATAACGTCTGGTTCATTAGGTCAACATTTGGTTCCTGAAATTCATGACATGCCACAGGTAGATGCAATTTACATCTTCTGTGGCGACAAATCCAGACATCAAGGATGGGCACAAAATTGGACAAAAATTAAAGGCATACATACAAACATCAAAAGCATATGTCAAGCATTGCAACTGGCTGTTAAGCAATGCGACCAAGACACAGTAGCCGTAAGTTTTCTTGCGGTAAATGAAATGGCTTCAACTGAGAGTTTAAATCAGTTGGAGCCAACGTTTATGTATACACAGCTATTCAAGGAAATTCTCCTTGATACTAAATATGATCGCAAGGCGATCAAGGACTTAGCAGCTTGTTGCCGCGAAGTCTTTACTGACAATCCAACTGAATTACAAATTATTGACGAATTTGAACATGATTATCGTCCACAAAAAGCAATATGGTGGTATACACGTGAATGTTTTACCTACAAAATGCTTAATCAAGCACTTCGAATTCTGGATGCCGATATAATTATTAACATGGGCTTCTTCCTACGTGATGTGCATCAGCAAATTCAACAGCTGCACGAACAACAAGTTAATAGCTATGGTAAAAAACCTTTTTTAGTTTATCGAGGACAAGGTCTTATGCAATCAGACTTTGAAAAACTTCAAAAAACAAGAGGTGGACTTATGTCATTTAACAATTTCTTATCTACAAGTAAAGATAAAGAAGTGTCTCTCCATTTTGCTCAATATGCTTCAGCAGAACAAAATAAGGTGGGGGTTCTGTTTATAATGTCCATTGATCCTTGTATTAAGTCAACACCATTTGCCTCCACCCACGAGGTGAGTTATTTTAAAGAGGGTGACGAAATCCTCTTTTCAATGCACACTGTCTTTCGAGTGAATGCAATTAAACAAATGGACAATAAAAATCAACTTTATCAAGTTGAATTACAATTAACAACGGATGATGATCAACAATTACGATTACTTACTGACCGAATACGAAAAGAAACTGATGGTAATACTGGATGGGAAAGATTAGGTAAATTATTGTTAAAAATCGGTCAATTTAATAAAGCAGAAGAACTTTACAACGTACTACTCGAACAGACATCTGATCAGGGTGAAAAAGCGGATTATTATAATCAGCTTGGATTTGTCAAAACTGAAAATGGTGATTATGAAAAGGCAATTTGGTATTACGAAAAAGGACTTAAAATCTATGAAAAAACTCTTCCTTCAAATCACCCTGATTTGGCTACTTCATACAATAATATTGGTGATGTGTATAACCACATGGGAGAATACTCGAAAGCACTTTCATTTTTCGAAAAAGCACTTGAAATTCGACAAAAAACTCTTCCTTATAATCATCCTGATTTGGCTACTTCATACAACAACATCGGTTTGGTGCATAAAAGCATGGAAGAGTATCCAAAAGCACTTTCATATTATGAAAAAGCACTAGAAATCCGACAAAAAACTCTTCCTTCAAATCATCCTGATTTTGCTATTACATACAACAACATCGGTAAGGTGTATGACAGCATGGGAGAGTGCTCCAAAGCCCTTTCATTTTACGAAAAAGCATTCGAAATTCGGCAAAAAACTCTTCCTTCAAATCATCCTGATCTAGCTACTTCATACAACAACATCGGTCTTGTTTATAAAAATATGAAAGACTATTCGAAAGCACTATCATATTTTGAACGTGCTCTGGATATATGGCAACGTGCACTACCTTCAACTCATCCTGATATTAAAGATGTGAAAAAGAGTATTGAAGTTGTAAAAAAGAAATTATAAACAATAGTTGATCAATAAATAAAAGAATGTTTTGTTCACTTGATTTTAAATTAATTCTGCTTTATAATATCTCGAGGGTATGGGTGTGGGTGGATGTAAGTGTGGGTATTAGTGTTTCTGTGAATGTGGATGATGTTAACAGAAGATATATCAATACTCACACACAGATCCACACCCTGTTTTCATTTTAGAAGAACGAACAGGCTACTATCTGTCAATTAAATTGATAGTATAAATTGAAGTATTAAGCATTACAATTGTATTTTCTGTGAAACTGCAACTTATAATATATATGGCTACTACAACTAGGGTAGTCTTTTTCTTCTTCTCTCTATGTTTTTTTGTTTACGATATATAGTTCTGTTTCTCAACACTAAACAAAGTAAAAATTTGTTACAATAAATATTTCTCATCTTACGAAGCAATAAAATTTTATTTATTTAAATAATTGAATGATAAAAGAAAATTTTCAATAAAAATAATTATTTAGCGAATGCTTAATAATATTTTACTGATGTTCTTAACTATCATACGTGTAATATGAAATCTTCTTTTCTTTTTTGCATTTTAATAAGTTTATCTTTGCTATTTTGAGATAAATTACATCTGAATAAAGATAACTGTTTCAATGATGGACTATATTTAATCAATTGAATAAGAGAATCGACAATTGAATCATTAACTAATTCATTTGTACAAAAATCAAATTCTATCATAGTTTTGCTATAATATTGTATTGCATTGGCTAAGATTTGAATACCTTCATTACCTATTAGATTACCGGCAACTAAAAGTGTTGTCAGTGTTTCATTTGTTTTAATCATTTCTGCAAGATATTTTGCACCAACATTTGTAATTTCATTTTTAGTTAGATCTAATATCTTTAGATTATTATTATTAGTTGATAATGCTTTAGCTAAATAATGAACACCTTCATCATCTATACGATTATCAAATAAAGAAAGTTCTTGCAAAATGTTATCATTATTGCTTAATACATTAGCTAAGATGAAAGCACATGGTGATTTTAATTTTGTCTGATTCAGTTTAAGTTGTTTGCATTTTTTTTTGATAATAGCCTCTTCGACAATAAACTCCACATCTCGTTCGGTCAATACTTGCATCATTATCACCACTGACGAGTAGTTTGAAAAACGTTTCATCTCTTGTTGCAAATAAGGATTTTCATACGAATTCATTTCTAATAAGAATAATGATTTGAAAATATCTTATTTCAATACTTAAATATATGTAAAAATATTTAAATATACCTAAGCCAGTATCATTTTCTGCAACTTCGTCTATTTCCGGTTGTAATGCGGGCACATTTCTTTTTGATTTCTTTTTTGTTTTCATACCTAAAAAATAATAGTTAGTTAATTAATAATGACGAAAAAAATTCATAATTCATCTTATTCTCTTCTTTCATATACAACAGGGATTATATTCACTAACGAAAGTTTTCTCTATAGTCTTATTCATCTCATATTTATTTACTAAATACGCATGAATAAGAAAT